TAGAGTTTCTAGATTAAGACACACTAGAAAGGAGAAGGAGGCCACTTCTGAATGGTTAGCCACTGAGAACCCTGTGAATAGCTGCAGAAAATCGTCTGATATAGTGCCAAACGATGGGCCCCTCGGGTTTGGCACTATATACCAACTTTTAACTTTCAGTTAAAAGGCACTCAAAATATGACTGGGTAAGAGTAGTCTCCTTAAAGTAGAGTTGACCTTCATGACATGAATGGAGCAAAACTTTTGAGACCTTCTGATGGTGTACAATTCAAAATGAGAAAAAAACAGCTGCAAACATCCATTCCAAAAGACCTCTTTAAAGTGTTAAAGAGCAAAGAGGTCACTTTGAGGACTAAGGTTGTACCTGACCCAAGCCACAGTATTTTCAGTTGCCTCATATGCATATGAAATTTAGACAATGAGTAAGGAAAATCTGGAGAAGAATCGGTGCATTCAAATTATGGTGTAGGAGAAGAATATTGAAAGTAACATGGATTGCCAGAAGAACAAAAATATCTTGTCTGGTTAGAACAGCCAGAATGTTCCTTTGAAGTGAGGATGACGAGACTTGCTGGGCATGTTGTTAGGCAGGACTAGACCCTGGAGAAGGACATGATGCTTGAAAAATTGGAGGGTCAGTGAAAAAGAGAAGGAACCCCAAAGAGATGGATTGACAAAGTGGCAGCAATAATGGGCTCAAACGTAACAGCATTTGAGAGATTGGTGCAGGACCGGGCGTGTTTCATACTATTGTGAACAGGGTAGCAATGTGTCAGCAACAAAACACTATAATGACCAACGGTAAAAAACAGTATATGACAAAACAATATGTGACAAGGTAAAAAACGTTAAATTGGGAGTTACCATAACTTTCCCCTCAACACTTTCAAGGATCCAGAATTGGTAGTTAAGCCAAAGGCAAGGAAAAGAATGGGAAGAAACTGAGAATGCCAACCTAACAGATTGTGCCTATAGCCACTGAACATCCTTGAGAGGTCAGGGGGGAGGGAGGAGACAAGGACAAGGAAAGCAGCTGAAGTGACCAGTGGGGCTCTGAAGACAGAGGTTTAGGAGTTTCTTGTTGCTGTTCTATTTTATTTGGGGCTCATCTAGGTGGGACTAGCATACCACACATTAAGAGTTTATGCAGTTATATTTAAATTAGTAGGTAGAGCCATACAGGTATACAGTTGTTAGGATGCTCTTTCTACACTTTGCTTATGAAACTAAAGGGAAGTAGGTCTGATGGGAGGAGTCACCTATTTTACATAGCATCTCCCACAGTGTCCAGGAAAGAAAAGTTTGGGGCAACTGAGCAGACTTGTGAGTCTTGAATATAATAGTAGCTGCACTTGCTCAGGAGTCTTGGTGTGGTGCTGTAGGAGAAGCACTGGACTGTTAACCAAAAGGTTGGTGGCTCAAACCCACCAGCCACTTCTTTGGAAACCCTGTGCAGGGTTGATGAGTCAGAACCAATTCAATGGCACTTAACAACACCAACACTTACTCAATAAGCATCTCTTTTCCAAACGTTAGCAATTATTGTCCTTTTCTCTATAGTTTCTGATGTTCTATGATTCCATGCTAATGCTGAGTCGGTTGTGATCTTTACAGAAACACACTACACTTTACAGAAATACCACAGGACTACTGGGTGGATTTGAAGGTGGTGCCGTGAATTGCCTAATATGGCTCTTCTAGCCATAATCCTCCATTATAGAGTATTGAAATTCCCCACCTCTATGCCTTTGGTTTTGGTCTCATTTTAGAGAGAGTTGCGCTATGTTAATGAGGCAGGGGGTAGGTGGGAGTTCCAGCCTTAAAGAGGGTGTGACTCAAGTCATCACCTTAAGTTTCCTTGGGACTGTGGTCCGCAAATTAGCCACCATCTTTGATATCTGTGTTAAAACAAGGATTAACTTCCTGTTTTAAGCTTGTTACTTTAATAGGTACACTGCTGACTTCCTGCTTACTTAAGAAAAATAGGAGGCAGGGGTCACAGAACTAGCTGAGACCAGATCTGGCTTATCTAACATGCACCATAATGATGAACATATTCTCAGCCTGACCTCTGACAACACGAGGTTGAAAACATACCTCTATTAATGCCCTGGGTATGGGTAAAATGTCATCTTTGTAACCCTACATCCCTTTTAGCTGAGGATGTGCAGGAGACTAGTTCTTGTGCTGAATCATCCTGATGAACACCAATCAGATGTCAGTTATTGCCCTGAAAGACTTCTGGTCCAGAGCTTGGGAAGCCATCTTGGTGACAAGAGTCCCAGTGTGCTCCTTTACTTGGCTTCTTATTTCAACTATTCGAGACCTTCTTCTTTCAACTATTTTGCATCTCTGTAGCTGTACTGAGCAACTTTGGCAAAGTTTACTCTCTTACTCTAAATCCTGTATCTGGTTCACCTCCATATGCCTTCTGGTTCTTAGAACTTGAGCTGGCTGCCTATTGCCTAATTGGGTTCACCATATTCTCTAACCTTGTGAGTCAACAACTTAGTTTGGTGTGAGTGAGGAGAATCCTCCTGACTGATGTCTGAGCTATGGATTTAGGACTTTCAAGTTTCTATAACCACATAAGCCATTTCCTTAATAGTTCATGAGTTCTATGACAGATTGCAGCAAATTGTTGAGTCCTGTGATGTGAGCGATAATACTGAGTAAAGGAGTGGTGGTTCATATCAGGGATAATGCTGTATAGCATTTCAGAAAATTTAAGCATTCGGGATACCTTTAGCCTCCATCTCATCAGTCTTGTGCTGATCTTTCTATTTCAGAAAGGGCATGGTGGGTGGCATCTGACCTTCTCTGACTTCCCAAAGGGGAAGAAGAATCATACCCATCAGCTCAAGGCCAATTCCTATGAGGTGGTGATCAAATATGCCTCTTTCCTCCTTTACCAATCTGACAGCATCCATCACTCCTTTAGCACTCTCTACATTTATGCTGGGTCTGAAAATCTGTTGCAATGGTCACACAGGACCCAGACAAACCTAATGATAATGGATCAAGAAATCAAACAACGTATTGCATTAGGCAAATCTGCTGCACAAGACCTTTTTAAAGTGTTGAAGAGCAAAGATGTCAGTTTGAGGACTAAGGTGTGCCTGATCCAAGCCATGGTATTTTCAATAACCTCATATGCATGTAAAAGCTGGACAGTGAATAAGGAAGACTGTAGAAGAATTGATGCTTTTGAGTTATGGTGTTGGAGGAGAATTTGAAAGTGCCATGGGCTGCCCATAGAACCAAAAGATCTGTGTTGGAAGAAGTGCAGCCAGAGTGCTCCTTGGAGGCCAAGATGGCCAAACTTAGTCTCTCATACTTCAGACACATTGTCAGGAGGGACAAGTCACTGGAAAAGGATATCATGTTTGGTAAGGTGGAAGGTCACAGAAAAAGAGGAAGACAACCAGCGAGATGGATTGGCAAAGTGGCAACATCAATGGGTTCAAGCGTGGCAACAATTGTGAGGTTAGCTCAGGACTGGACAATGTTTCATTCTGGTATACATAGGGTCATTATGAGTCGGTATGGACTTGATGGCACCTAACAACAACAAAGGGAAGTTAACAAGTTGCAATTCAGAATCAGAAATGTTCAGGATACAGTTATTTGGTGAGGACAGACTCTTCCCAGCCATGCACACAGGCAAGCCTCTTTTTGGTCCTTGATCTCTTCACCTACCCTTTGCCCTGTTTGAACAATGCTACAAAACTCTTTAATGCTGACAATAAATGTCCCAAGAGCATTCAACTCCACCATTAGCTCCAGCCCAAAGGCATTCAGGTCTAACTCCAAATCTAACTCTGCCAATTATGTGCCTGGAGACAGCCCATTCCTCAAGTGAGCCTCTTGCCCAAATGCGGCGAGTTTTACCTCTCCGCAGGTTGTTCTGTCTCCTGTTCTGGTTCTTAGTTCTGTTGCTGTGGCCACTCTGCTATTCCTCTCTGTCTCCTGCATTGAGGAGGTTCAATGTGCAGGGATTTTGTGGTCTGAAGGACATGCTCCATTCCTGGCTCATCTTTCTTGATGATGCTAGTGAACTCTCCTGTTTCTGTTTCTGAGATGGCTCATTTTATACCCAGCAAGATGGCAAAACTAACTAACCAATTCCCATATTAGAGTTTCAAGTTTCTATAGTCACAGTTAGCCCTGTGAACAATCACTCACAACTTAACCATACAGTCTCATCATCATCTTCCTCCACTTTCCCTTACCCAGATCCATCACAAAGAGGGGAAATATACTCATGCTGCATGATTACACCCTGTTGTTTCCTGGAAATGTAAAGACTATGACTTATATTGCTGCTTTTAAGTGCTGCTGACTCAGTTTGGATTCATAATCACCCTAAATAAGGTTTCCGAGGAGAAGTTTATGAGTTTGAACCACCAACCTTGTGGTTAGCAGAACAGTGCTAATCCTACAGCACCATACCAAGACCCCAGACTATGGCTAGAAGAGCCATAGTAAATAATTAATGAGACTGTACAACTTTTAGGATAGTAGGTGAGTGCAAACTGTTAATCCCCACTAAGGGTCCTTTTTATGATAATGCATTATCATTTATTAGACATAGGTTGTTGGTAGAGAACTGTGTTCAGGTTGATGATTGAGTTTGGTTATTCAATGTGGAAAACTGAAAAGTGGTCAAGGGACAGGATTACATGAAGCTGTGACATGGCAAATGGTACAAAGGGCTCAAAACCAAGACCTGCACATGCAGGAATGTGTGTGTCACTAGACACACTGTTTCCATTCATGGGCCTGGATACATCTGCCTCTGGCTCCATGCAACTTAAAGTTCCCAGGTCTCTGATTCAGCTTTCAGGCTGTGACTCTGCTATGGAAGAAAAGAGTGTAACAGCAGGAAAGAAAGATTGATTCAAGAATATGGGGAAAGTTCTGGTATTTCCAAATCAGCTTTGTCATAGGCCAAACCCCCATAATAAGCAAAGAGAAAAAAATTAAAGAAGTTCCATACTTTAGTTTTCTTCAAGATTCTCAGGATCAAGCTCTCCAAATAACAATCTAATGTTCTCTTCTGCTACATAGATATTGGATGCACCATGGACTGCGTTGTACAGAACATTAATTCCAAAATGGGCTCGAATGGAGTCTGGAGACAGTAGTCTTGCTTCTTCTGGGTCTGTGGGGCCCATCAACTTTCTCCATTCAGAAACAGCATTCCACTTGGTCAGGACCATGATGACAGATGGGCCTCTGCAAAGAAAGGTGTTTTCAGAAGATCTGAGTTAATTACAATGGTAGAAACTGTAGATGTAGCTCATGGTATGGTCACAACATTGCCCCGATGTCTCCTTTTCCATTGCACCTATCAGTATAACTTCTGCTTTCTTTCTTTTTCTTTTTTTTTTCCAGTTCTCCCTCTGAAAACAACAACAGGTTGTTGTGCTGGAAGAGTGCTAGAGTTTAATTCTAGGGAATATTTTGTCAATGAAACCTTATTGTTTTTGCGACTTTGGGGTACCATAGATACAGACATTGTTTGCACATTGTGAGTCATCACGCAGATAGACCCTGAATGAAGGACAAGGTGCATTGACTGTCCTTCAGCTTTGAATGAGTTTGGCCATTCAATTTTCCACATTGAATGGGCAAACTCATCCTTCCAGGGATGGGCTCTGCTGCACACAGTCACCTTGATCAAGGTCACTCTCATTCCCAGGGTTGTCCAACACCAATTACTGATCTAAGGAAGGTATGAAGGCCTAACTATCTCAGCCCAATGCAGGACAATTCTGAAGGGCCAATATAGCTCTGGACAGAGATGTTTGTGGGCTACATTGCATCTTTTTTTCTCCCTCTTCTGAATCCTGTTTTTCTCCCCACTGCCCCCTGCCTCCGTGGGACATACTTAATAAATATTTCACATGCTAAACTTTGCTTCCTGGGAACCATAGCCTACAATGTATATGAAAGTGAATTTGTTTTCTAAGGTGCTGTGGAGCAGTTACTGAAAGTCCTCAGCCTTCTGCTTATCATTTATCTGTAATTACTACTTGCATTCAAAAGATTTAAGGCATTACTGCTTCTTATTTTGGTTCCATGTAATCTTTTGTTTGAACTCTATTAATTTTACCTTTCTACTGACCAGCCACTCTATGGGAGAAAGATGAGGCTTTCTGCTCATCTCAAGATTTACAGTTTCAGAAACCCTCTATAGGATTTCCATGAGTCGGAATTGAATCAGTGGCAGTGTGTTGGTCTTGCATTTTTAGACTCATTGACAAATGGTCAGGTATTGAAGGGGAACATATAAATATACATATAAAGTGGCTGAGATGTGTGTATATACAAAGGGGCTTCCAAGAGTTCATGAAAGCATTCCATTATCTTTCTATTTACTTTTTCCATGAATTTTTTGAGCACCCCCCTCATATATATATCTGAATATATGTGAGGGTGAATGAGTCAAAAAGTATCTGCACTCTAGCTGTAGAATTTGTTTTAATCAACTTTTAGAAAAGAAGAATACATTATCTTTCAACATAATCTCTTTGATTTTATATAAACTTTGTCCATCTCTCCACAATCCTACATATTCCCTTACTAAAAAATGCTTTAGGCCAAGCTACAAGCCACGGATGCACCGTTGTCTTCACTTCTTCATCAGAGGAGAGTCTTTGTTCCAGAAGAACTGCTTTCAGGGGACCAAACAGGTCCCCTGAAAGCAGTCCAATGGAGTAAGATCAGGACTATAAGAAGGTTGCTTTAGTACTTCAAAACAAAGTTTCTGCAGAGTGTCAACAGTGTGGGCAGAGGTGTGTGGACAAGCATTGTCATACAAGATCACAAGGCCCTTGGATAGCAGCCCTCTTCATTTAATCCGAGCTTTCAGCTCTTCAATGATCATCTCATGCTTCAAACTGTAAGCATCATTTTTCCAGCTGATGCTTGACTTTTGAACTTTTCCTGGTCGGCAATTGAGGATATTCCATTCTACACTCTGCCGTTCACTTTCAGGAAACCGACCAAGAAAAATCATTGCTTACAGTTTTCTGGGATTCTCAAGGGCCAGTATTGGAACACTATCAGGAAAAAAGTTCAATAATCATCAACAGGGCTCATTACAGTTAATGTTCTCAGCAAAGCTGAAGTCTAAACTTTGAATTAAACACAAAGGACTGCTATCCCAGGGCTTTGTGATCTTACATGACAATCACCTCTGTCTACAGTGTTGACACTCTACAAAAACTTTACTTTGAGGTGCTGAAGTCTAAACTTTGAATTAAACACAAAGGACTGCTATCCAAGGGCTTTGTGATCTTGCATGACAATCACCACTGTCCACAGTGTTGACACTCTGCAAAAACTTTACTTTGAGGTGTTGAAGTATCCTCCTTATAGTCCTGATTTTGCAACATTCGATTTTCACCTATTTGGTCTCCTGAAAGCAGTCCTTTGAGAACAAAGATTCATCTCTGATGAAGAAGTGAAGAAATGAAGTCAGAGGTATTCACAGCTCAGCCTAAAACATATTTTTAATATGAGAATATGCAAACTTGTTGACAGATGGTCAAAATATATTGAAAAGCAAGGAGTTTATATAAAAAAATGATGTATTTGTCTTTTCTAAAAGTTTATTAAAATAAATTCTACAGCCAGAGTGTGGATGAGATAGATATAGATATAGATATAGATATAGATATAGATATAGATATATAGATATATATAGATATATATATACATACATAGGGGAACACATGGGCTCTGGATAAGTGCTTACCCTGGACTGCAAATCATAAGATTAGTGGTTTGAGTCCACCATCCACTCTGTGGGAGATCTATGAGGCTTTCAGCTCCCGCAAAGATTTACAGCTTCAGAAACCATATACAGGTTATTATGAGTTGCAACCAATTCCAAGGCACTTAACAATAACAGCATAAATATTCCTAAAAGGTTTATGTTTACACTTTTTAAAGAAAGGTGTTTATGCATTTAAGAGAAAAAGAGATGTGCACAAAGATATCTAACATTGACTTAATATTCAATGTACGCAAGCTGTTTCAAATCTGTTCAATCTATACTTACTTAGCCCTCATAACAAACTTATGAAGGAGGTGCTATTAATATCCCTATGATGTCGGGAAACTAAGGCACAGATTCAGTATCTTGGCAAAGAAGAGCTTTAAACTAGATGACCTCTATATCCAATAAGAAGACCAAGAAACAGAAGAAGAAAGGAAGGAAGATAGAAGAGACCAAGGCAGGCAGATAAAGAGAAGGGAAAAAGAAAAGAGGAAGAAGGGAAAAAAAAATTAACTGTAAATATAAATAGGGTGTCTTTTCATGGAAGGGATTATGCTATAAAAGTGTTAATCATTTTAAGTATCTTTTTAAGTGTCTATAATAAAGCTATCACTTTTATAATGCCAATAGCTATATAGCAGAAACTTACTCAGCTAGCATTTCCAATACATCTTTATAAAAATCTTTTGTTTGTATAGTCATATAAATGCAGTCTGCTAACTCTCGCGTTAGAAGTAGTTCCTTCATTTGTGTTACCTCAAATCCATCCTCTTTAATGATCTTCAAGATATCATCTAGGAAAAACAAATATTTGGTTATTTTGTAGAATGATTCTTTTGTTCTATATTCCTATAGATTGGAATAACTACAAAAAGAGTTTTACCTATAAATGTGGCTTGAAAACACAAAACTATGCCAAATTAATGAAGCACAAGGTAACCTTCAAAACTTTAATGTAGACAGTCAAAATCTGAGACCCAGCCAACAGAAGCTCCCTGAAACATCTGTAGGTTGTCTGAGGCTGTAAATCTTTATAGGAGCAGAAAGCTTCATCTTACTCCCATGTCTATCCTACTGTGCCGCCCTGGAGAGCAGGAGTGAGGAACCATTTTTCTGCCAAAATTTCTATCATTCGTGACCATATAAAATTATTAACTTAAAATTAGCCTGCTATATTAGTCAGACATTTAATTAACCCATTATGATGGCTGGAGTCCTGGTGTGGCTCTGTGGGTTAATGCACTGGACTGCAAGGTCACTTTGAACTGCAAGATCCATGGTTCAAACTCACCAGCCACTCCTCAGAAATCCTACACAGAGTCGCTATGAGTCGGTACCCACTCAACGGCACATAACAACAATGTGATGGCTAAGGAATCCTGGTGTGGCGCTGTAGGATAATGCACTGGACTCCAAAATCATTTTGAACTGCAACGTCGGAGGTTCAATCTCACCAGTTAATCCTCGGAAACTCTATACAGGGTGGCTATGGATTGGAACCTACTCAATGGCACTTAACAACAACAACAATGTGATGATTGGAATTCTGGTGTGGCGCTGTAGGATTAGCACTGGACTTCGAACCACAAAGTCAGCAGTTCAAACTCACCATGCTCCTCGGAAACCCTATACAGGGTTGCTATGAGTTGGAGTCGACTTGACAGCAATTAACAACAACAATAATGTAATGGCTGGACCTGCAGTTGCCTTGTCAGAGGCAGACCAAATTACTTCACAGGGCCTTGTACAGCCATGGAGTACTGGTGTAGCGCTGAGGGTTAATGCGCTAGACAGCAAAGTTGGTTTGAACAGCATAGTCAGCGGTTCAAACTTACCAGCCGCTTCTTGGAAACCCTATACAAGGTCACTATGGGTCGGAATTGACTCGACGGCACTTAACAACCAATAATACGGCCATGGAGTCAGTCTCTTGTTAAGGTTTTCTGGGAATGCTGGTGAGTTTGAATCTCCGACTTTGCAGTTCAAACTGACATTGCAGTTCAATGCTTATCCTATAGCTCCACACCAGGACTCCTGCAAGTCTTTGTTGTTGTTGTGAAGTGCCATCAAGTTGGTTACAGCTCATAGTGACCCTGTATAGGATTTCCAAGGTGCACCAGGTGGGCTTGTGACTGACCTGGTGGTTTGCAGTCCAGTGCTGGTCATACAACTCCACACCTTGAGGGCAATAAAAGCTGTGTGTTACTGGGAGGGAGATGGGGTTACTCAATGAAGGCACTTTGTCATCTCCATGTTAAAATATGAGAGGATTTCTCCTAGATATTGACTGAGCTGATCATAAGTATTCTCTTTTAATAAGCAAGATGCTATTGAAGGACTTAAATAAAGGAAATTGCTTTAGAACCTAACCAACACTCTGGGTTTCCATGATGTTCTCAAATCACATACAAGTTCATATTAAACTTTCAAAATATGTATGTCATTGTTGTTAGGTGTTATCAAGTCAGTCCCAACTCATAGGGACTCTACGCACAACTGAAAGAAACACTGCCCGGTTGTGTACCATCCTCACAATTGTTGTTACATTGAAGCCCATCCCTGCTGCTACTGTGCCAAGCCATCTTGTTGGAGGTCTTCCTTTTTTTGCGGACCCTCCACTTTACCAAGCATGATGTCTGCCTCTGGGGACTGATCCCTCCTGATCACATGTCTGATCACATGAGAGAAGTATTCATTCCTGCCATCCTGGCTTCTAAAGAGCATTCTGGTTGTACTTCTTCCAAGACATATTTATTTGTTCTTCTGGTAGTAAATGGTACTTTTGATATTCTTCTCCAACCCCATAACTCATTGCCCAACTTGTATATGCATATTGTTGTTGTTGATTGCCGTCAAGTTGGTTCCTACCCATAGCAACCCTGTATAGGGTATCCAAGGAGCAGCTGGTGAGTTTGAACCGCCAACCTTGCAGTTCAAATGGCTTTGCAGTCTGGCACATTAATCCACATTGCCACATATAGATTATTGAAAATAACATGGCTTGGGAGTTTGTTGTGCAAGTACTCTTGTAAGAGATTTTTAATTATATATAGCAAAAATTTGCCTGTGTGTGGTATTAATGATATTATTCGATGATTTCTGTGTCACATTGAGTCACCTCACTTTGGAATGCATATAAATATGGATCTCTTTCAATTGATTGGCCAAGTAGCTGTCATTCAATTTCTTGCCATAGATGAATGAGCATCTCCAGTGCTGCTTCAGTTGGTTAAAACATTTCAATTTGTAGTCCATCAATTCCTGGAGTCTCAATTTTCACCAATGCCTTCAGACAGCATTGACTTCTCCCTTTAGTACCATCAGTTCTTGATCATTTGCTACCTCTTTAATTGTTTGAACATTGATTATTTATTTTTGGTAAGTGACTTTGCTTATTCCTTCCATCTTACTTTGATGCTTTCTGCATCATTGAATATTTTGTCCATAGAATTCTTGAATATTGGAAGTCAAGGCTTGAGTCTTCAATTCTTTCAGCTTGAGGAATGCTGAGCATGTTTTTCCTTTTGGTTTTATAACTCCAGGACTTTGTACATTTCATTATTGTACTTGACTTTGTCTTCTCAAGCTGCCCTTTGAAATCTTCATTACAGTGCTTTGACTTTGTTTCTTCTATTCACTTCAACTTCTCTGATCTCAAGAATAATTTTAAGATTCTAAAACTTCAGGTCTTTTCTTCTTTTCCCTGTCTTTTAAATGACCTTTTGCTTTCTTCATGTCTGATATTCTTGATGTCATCCCATAACTCTTCTGAACATCAGTCATTAGTGTATAAAGCATCAATTCTATTTTTGAGATGGTCTCCAATTTCAGGTGGGATATATAAGAAATCTTATCACTTTATGAAACCAAACACATACAGCCCAGCATACATGTCTCAATATAAATTATAACTAGTTTGGGTTATATGAAGAAAAATGTGGCATCAGGATTGGAGGAAGACTCATTAACAACCTGCGATATGCAGATGATACAACTTTGCTTGCTGAAAGTGAAGAGGACTTAAAACATTTACTGATGAAGATCAAAGAGCACAGCCTTCAGTATGGATTACATCTCAATGTAAAGAAAACAAAAATCCTCACCACTGGACCAATAAACAACATTCTTATCAATGGAGAAAAGATTGAAGTTGTCAAGGACTTCATTCTTCTTGGATCAACTATCAACACTCACAGAAGCAGCGGCCAAGAAATCAAACAACATAATTGCATTAGGCAAATCTGCTGCACAAGACCTTTTTAAAGTGTTGAAGAGCAAAGATGTCAGCTTGAGGACTAAGGTGCTCCTGACCCAAGCCATGGCATTTTCAATAACCTCATATGCACGCAAAAGCTGGACAGTAAATAAGGAAGACCATAGAAGAATTGATGCTTTTGAGTTACGGTGTTGGAGGAGAATATTGAAACTGCCATGGGCTGCCAAAAGAACCAATAGAACTGTTTTGGAAGAAGTGCAGCCAGAGTGCTCCTTGGAGGCCAAGATGGCCAAACTTTGTCTCTCATACTTGGGACATATTGTCAGGAGAGACCAGTTACTGGAGAAGGATATCATATTTGGTAAGGTGGAGGGTCAGAGAAAAAAAGGAAGACCCTCCAATGAGATGGATTGACCAAGTGGCAGCATCGATGGACTCAAGCATGGCAACAATAGTGAGGTTGGCCCAGGATTGGGCAGTGTTTTTGCTGTGCCTAAGGTTGTTATGAGTCAATACCAACTCAATGGCTCCTAACAACCACAACAACAGTCCTTAAATAAGGAGCAAGTTGGCTTCATACAATAAGCACTGGACTGCAAACCATAAAGTTCACGGTTTGAGTTTGCCAACCTCTCCCGGGAAGAAAGATGATGTTTTCTGCTCCCACAAAGATTTAAAGCTTCAGAAACCCTATACAGGGTGATTTTGAGTTGGAATTGGACTCAACTGCACTTAACAACTTGTTGTTGTTGTTAAGTGCTGTCAAGTCGGTTCCAACCCATAGCGACCCTGTACAGGGTTTCCAAGGGTGTAAACCCTTAAGGGAGTAGAAAGCCTCATCTTTCTCCCGTGGAGCGGCTGGTAGTTTCGAACCGCTGACCTTAAGGTTCGCAGCCCGATTTGTAACCACTACGCTACCAGAGCTCCTTGCGCTTAACAACTACAAGTCCTTAAATTAGATGACTTGATTACACTGTTTCTTATGCATGTTGTTAAGTGCCATTGCGTCAGTTCCTACTCATAGTGACTCTGCATAGGGTTTCCAAGGAACAGCTAGCTGCTGGGTTTGAACTGCCAACCTTGTGGTTCTTGTCACAGCAAGAATCCTTTGTTATACATGTTGTTGTTGTTATTTGTTGATGAGTTGGTTCTGACCCATTGCAATCCTGTATAAGGTTTCCTGGGAGTGGCTTGTGAGTTCAATCTAAATTCACATGGTAATTGGGGTGTCATTTATGTTTCCTAATTTTTTATATGAAAGAATAATAAAACTTTCTCAAATCTCTAAGACAGATAAACTGATACATTTTGGATCTTCCAAGGAGATAAAGAGTTAGGATGCTTATTTTTCTTGATGGTTACAGTTCTAAAAGATGGCTCCTAGATTCTTGAGAAAGGCATTCCTGAGTTATAAAGTCAACAAAAGACAGTTGTTAAAAAGATTTACATGCAATTTAAAGGGGTAGATTAAAAAAATGACAACTAGAGATTTTCTAAAGGAAATGCACTCAGAAAAATAAGGGGATGTTTCTGTCCCTTTTTGTACCAGGGAAAATTCAAGTTTTGCTCTTTTTAAAAAATTCTTTCTTCTTACCCTTACATATAGCTGTGGAGGGGAAAAGCAACATAACATTTCCATCAAGTCTCAGAAGGACTTCAGTAAAATGTAGTACATATTTCTGAATAAGGGAAAGGTGGAGAGACGAGTGAGGAAGGGGATGAAAGAGGAGAGAGAAAAGGAGCCAATATGGCAACAGTTGGCAATTATGGTTTAAACCTGGCGTGGCTCTGTGGGTTAATACACTGGACTGCAAAGTCGGTTTGAACCTCGAGATCAGTGGTTCAAGCTCACCAACTGCTCCTCGGAAACCTTACACAGGGTCACTGTGAGTCAGAACCTATTCGATTTCACATGGCAAGCTATACAGTACATTTAAACAAATATAAACAGCTACAAGAATATAGAAGAAGCTCTGGTAGCGTAGTGGTTACGAATTGTGCTGTGAACCGCAAGGTCAGCAGTTTGAAACTACCAGCTGTTCTGCAGGAGAAAGATGAGGCTTTCGGCTCCGGTAAAGATTTACAGCCTCAGAAACCCTGTACAGGGTCACTATGAGTCGGAACCAATTCCACGACATATAACCACCAACCACCACAAGAATATAAAGTCCTGGTGTGGTGCTGTGTGTTAATGCAGTGAACTGCAAAGTCGGCTTGAACTGCAAGGTTGGTGGTTCCAGCTCACCAGCCTCTCCTTGGAAACCCTACATAGGGTCACTATGGATCGGAACTGCAGCACACAACAACAACAACAGCTTTTCTATAAGGAGGGCTGGTAATTCACATAGTGAATTACTTACTGGGATTGTAACAGCACAGTCAGCCATTCAAACCGACCAGTCGCTTCTCTGGAGAAAGATGAGTTTTTCTGCCCCCCCAAAGATTTATAGCCTCAGAGGCTATAAAGGGTCGCTATGAGTCTGAACCAACTTGGTGTCACACAACCACCACCACCACCAAACTCTTCTATAGTTTGAAAATTTCAAAAACATTTGGTGGAAAAAATGTAAACAATGGCTTTTATTTTTAAACATTTACCTTTATTTTCATCATGTACATGAGGTTTAATCAATGCCAAAGTGCTTTGAGGAGGAAAGAAATACTGTATTTCCTTTTTAGCAGCTTCCAGCGAGTCACTTCCATACAACTGATTGATAGGTAAACTTTCCTTTGCAAACTGAGCACATAAACTTTTATAGAGGAAAAAAAAAAGTTGAGTTCAAAAAATGCTGTTGTAACTAACAACAAAATAAAAACACCAACACTATATAAGTATAAAAATTGTACAAAAGTTATCACCAACTAGGGTAACTCATTCCTACCATAGGCATTGGACCAAAGGAATTAACCACAGAGTGATTTGGGTCATGCCTGATGGTGTGGTGCTGGAGTCTTTGTGTGGCACCTCAGGATAACGCACTGGACCGAAAGGTCAGTTTGGACCTCAAGATCAGCAGTTCAAATTCACCAGCCGCTCCTTGGATCCGACTCAACAGCACAACAATACCTTCCCTTCAGGGAGCACGATGTCTCTGTCTGATAAGTTCTAGACTTCTACCCACAGGTTAAAGGAGTCCTGGTGTGGCACTGTGGATTAATGCGCCAGACTGCGAAGTCATTTGAACTGCAAGGTTGGCAGTTCAAGCTCACCAGCTGCTCCTTGGAAACCCTATACAGGGTCACTATGGGTCAGAATCAATTTGACAGCACTTAACAACAATAACAACCCACAGGTTAATGGTTCCAGAGATGAAAGATGAGGCTTTGTGCTCCCACGAAGATATTCAGGGCCTCTATGCATCGGAACCTACTCAATGGCATCTAACAACAAACAACAACTTCCCTTCAAGGAGTTAATATAAGGAAGATTAGAATAATTATAACAGATACTAACAGACAACTGAAAAAGAAGGAATGAATGGCTGCTGTGTTGAAAACAACACAGCTCTGGGACACTGCTTGCGTTACCTGCTATGTCCTAACTGCTATGTATTTTTCAGACATCTCAAATATAAATAAGAAGCCTTAGTGGTATAGTGGCTGAGTGCTTGACTGCTAACTGTAAGGTCAGCAGTTCGAATTCACCAGTCACTTTGTGTGAGACAGATGTACGTGTCAGGCTGTTTCAGTACAGATTATATAGCATTCAAAACACTAGGGGGCTGCGCGTGGGAGGGGTTATACTCTGCCTTACAGTGTCATTATGAGTCACTGTGCATTCGTTTTCTGCTATATTAACTCAGTCCTGAACAGACATCCCACAAAATGTCGTCTGTTGCTGCCAACAGATTCAAATCACCAGAATTTTGGATCTTTCTCCTTATCATCAAAAGCCTCTTCCGGCCGCTCTGGTTTTAAAGACTCTCAGATTTCCTTTTAACTTACTCAACCTCACCTTCCTATTATGCCTTTAAAGAGCTCTGGTAGCATCGTGGTTATAAGTCGGGATGCTAGTCTCACAGTCAGTAGTTAGAATCTACCAGCTATTCCATGGGAAAAAGATGAGGTTTTTGCTCCTGTGCAGATTTACTGCCTCAGAAACCCTATGCAGGACCTCTGTGAGTCAGAACCAACTCCAAGGCACATAATTACCACCACTTTGTCTATTTTCCATCACTAATTTAGAGATACCTCCAGCCCAAGGCCCTGGGACCCTGCAGGGGTAGGTATTGCACAAAGAAAGGTGAAATCTCCCAGGGATCACCAGCACTTACACTATTGACTGCAGAATATTATAACAATCCCCTTGCTACACTGTAAACACGATCCTTAGAAAACATGCAGAGAAAAGGATGGATAGAGAGAATAAAGGAGTGGAATGAAGAGTTGCTGTTCTTCTCTTTTATGCAAATGGCCAGATTTCAGATTAAAACAATACGGAGAGTAGAATCTGATGCCAAAATACAAGAAACGGACAGAATGCAGGTGATAAAGTTCTATGAAAAGAAGTCCACTGTGGCACTTTAGGGTAAACATTGGACTGCTGACTGCAAGATCAGTGGTTGAAACTCACCTTCCACTCCTCAGAAACTCGATACAGGGTTAATATGAGTTGAAACTGATTCGATGGCACTTAACAACAACAACAACAAAGCAGCATCAAAAAGCTGGTAAGAGCCAAGTCAACTGAAGAAGGGAGGAACAATCAGAAGAAATGGTCAAGATGTGTTGGGTACTGTGGCATCTTAGACAACCTAAGAGCCCTGGTTGCGAACCTTCAGTGGGTGGGATGTGAAGAATCAGTCACTGAGTTCATTCACCTGTGCAAATGTCTGTAGACTTGAAGAATCGTCACTGCGTACGTTCACCCAGGCAAATGTCTCTAGACTTGTACACAACCTCCACTCCTCCAGCCCCAACTTCTAAACCAGTATGCATCAGCCACTGGCTTATTAACAAATTCTCTGACATTTCACTCATATCACTAGCAAGATATTCAACCTATGTTATTCTTCACTGTAATTGTCTGACTGAGGAACAAAGATGTTAGCAAACAGGACTAAATTTGGGGTAAAATGTGTCCATGCAAGACAAGAGAGAGTGAAATAGATCCTAAACT